CTTTTTGCTTTATTACCGGCAATAATCACTGTCATTTCTTCTGGACTGCTTTCCATTTCAATCACTTCGTGCACAGAAACACGTTTTACCAAGACTGAAGTCAGAGCCGTCATTCGTTGAGCGATTCGCGTAAGTATGGCAAAAATCGCAATTGCTCCATTTGAACATTGGAAACACTATGGAACAAGAAGAATCATGAACACTCGTCATTCAATCACCACCATCAAGCAGAAATAGCGGCAGAACTGGAGAGTACCTCGCAGTATTGACCGGGGCATTTATAATTTCTGTGATCCGTCGCGCAATTCGCGCGCATCGCGCAACGGATCCCGGACTCTGACACCAGCTGATAGTCAGTCAGCAAGAGTAAATCTTTCCAGCAAGAAGGATGCGGAAATAACCTGTACACTGTATATGTAATTCATATTTTCTTTGTGAGTATTCAATCAATGCTTTGAAATATAGGGACCGCAGGAGCAGCGCGAAAAAAAAAACGCGCAGTTGGGTTCTTCTCCCTCTCGGGAGTTTGGATACTTAGTGGCAACGACCCATTTCACCAAAATCAAGCCCCAAGAAATTGAAGCAACTTGAGAACTCTTAATTTTACGCACTCTCGGTTGAAATTCAAAATATTTCTTTGTAATTACCTCCAGTCTATGTTTCCATGTTTCATCTGGTTCTAAAATATACGACTCGACCGTTCTTCGTCGTGCTTCCTCCTTGAAAGTTGAAATTAGTCTCCAAAATAAAAGGGTAATCAAAGATCAAAGTAAGATGTGATTTTTCAAATATTCTAATTATGTACTGCCTATTCAAAATACACACACGCACCTTAGCAGCTCTAATTCGTTTCATTTCCTCCTCATCTAGTCCCTTAGCACGCCATCGAGCATAACATCGTTGTCGACGAATTTCCTTCTTCTTCTGAACCGGATTGCTGGACTTATCAACCATCTTCTGCGAAGAAGACTTGACATCACCAGATTCCTTGATCCGTGGTGCTGTCTTTGATGAGGTATTCTGAACGTGAGCATCAGCGACGAGATTCTCTTCAAGTAACAGCTCCAGATCAAATTGATGGGATAACAACGGTCGGCAATGAAATTGTGGATGCCGAGCTGACTGAAAGTGAAAAGGAGCAAAGCAAACCGCCGATGAAGCCCTTAACAGAGACCCCTCTCCTCCCCTTTGAGATGAGGAATTGCGAGTTTTGACGAGTTCTCTGAACTCGCTTTCTTTCTGGCTCCACTAATTCGCGCATATTCGAATTAGCCGTTTCGTCGTATCCAAGTTGCGTGTCATGAGATGTGCGCGAGGTATCTCGTCCGCTAACTCACATCAGTTCACTTTCTGAAACCCTAGCGCCATTCCCCCCCCCCCTTTCGAGCCGCGATGACGGCACAACTAGCGAGGTAACATATCCTACCCACGAAAAAAGTTGGTCGACACGAGTTCATCCGGGTTTTTGCTTTGAATAATTTCCAGCTGGACGAAAAAAAAACTTCAAAATTGCTGGCTTACTGTACCTCAAGTGGAGTCTCCTCCTTTTGTCGACTCCTGGGCTTCGTACCGTTTTTCAAAAACTCATTCATTTGGCGAAGGACCCGTCGTTGGCTTCGCGACAGCACGAATTTTGTCGAATCGAGTCTAAACTACCCAAATTACGAGAAGCTTCCCTAGAGTATCCATCAAAAAGATTACGCACCTAATCGTGTACTGAGGACAACACGTTCGACTCATCGTTGGTTTATAAATATACTTCCCCGACCTGTAAACAAAAGCTTTTCTTTATTACAATCATTTTGGATCCATCAATTTAAATGTATGCCACACGATCAGGGCAGTGCTCCTGTGTTATTGCCTGCATTTAATCGGAACTAGCGCTGCCCCAAGCGATGTCGCAAACTTTATGGACAAAGACAGAGATAGACAAGTAACCTTCGCCATCCTCTGTCCAGAAATCTCTGATAGTTCCTGCAGCTGAGCCTTAGTGCCCAGATTCCTGCAATGGATCCGATATCAAATGTGCTTTCCTTTTTAGAAAAAAACGCTATTCTGTCATGATAATTTTCGAAATATCATTCACTTCTGGAGACTAGAGTAGGAGTGAGGCGAGGTAGACATCATACTGTTCACGTCTCGAAAAAATGTTCGAAATGATCAGGTGGATACGTGATGGACCTGCGTAGCTGATTGGTCTGCTCTTATGAAAGAAACCAGCGCAAACGAAATTGCATAGTGATCAGGGGTGAACATCAAGTGCACCCTGTAAATTCTCGAAATCTGTAATATCCAAGGAAATGTCGCGCTATTGATGCAGCCTTCTCATTTGGCTAAACTCAAAGGTAAATATTTGTGGTAATAAACAATTTAGGCCAAAACTTCTTTAAGCACACACTAAAGGTCATTTTTAACCCTCCTTAAAACTAACCAGAACAGGAACAGCCTCAATCAGAGCCGTTGCGGAATCTGGGCTCTAGTTCAGCCAACAGTGTCAGTAAATTACCTACCCGCCCCACCCGTACTCCAGCAGTCGCATAAAACTCTCACTGTCCATTATATGAGCAAAACAGCCTGTAATCATCCATCATCAATTTGACTCATTACATTTGCTTTAACTATTGCATAAACCTGGGACAACCCGAGATAATACTTGATAGATCCAGAAATACAGAGGGCACACCGGCTGAATCACTTATCTACCACCTACCAAACGAGACAGAGTTGCCCTCATCATCCGTGTCTTCTATACCATTCTCCGTACCTAGGGATGATTTTCGGCCTGAGTTCTTGCAGTAGCCACATGACGAATTCTCGGTCAACCCGCAATACTCGATGATAGACCAGCTCACCATCCTGAGTGCCAGCGATTCATCAACTGTAAATACAAAATCTCATTAACCCCACTTCACACCGTCATCTACACAGGCACAACTCTACTGTACACGGTAGTATCGTAGAGGTTTTTGTACAGCAAAAGTGTTTAGCCACACCACAGCAGTTTTGCGCTTTTTTCTACACAAGCAGGGAAACACCTCAGCTGAATGCCTTCAATTCAAGTGGAATGAAACTGATCATTTCGAAGTGGAACTAGAGAAAATGTTTCATAAGCGCGGGGCTACGCCGATTTTGTTATTTTAGGATACGTGTCAAGAGAGCCAGGGGATATGTTGCTTCTAAGAAACGGCCATCTTCCCAGCTCCGCCCGGAATGGAAGCGATAAGTGTTCACATTAGTTCCTCGTTCTTGGGCATTCATCTCAGCTTCAGGTGCAACTCTTGAAAACCAACAACAAAAAGAATGGGGTTGTTCAGAGGCTTTATCGTTTCTTTCGCATTTTTTTTATTGGCAGACCAACTAACTTTAACAGTTTCCCACAAGAAGCAAACCATTTGCATCCCTGCCATCGGGAATCATCGTCTACCGGCCAATCGCGAGCGCAGCATGAGGCCGAGCCCCCAGACTTTGCGAATCGCGCAAATTCCGCTACTAGCCGATTCGTGCGCTCCGGGTGTGGGTACTTAGGACAGAACGCGACTTTTTCGCTCTTCGCAACGCGACATCGCGCGGCAGGCTGGCGCACCGCAGCGAAAACAACTACGGTATGGAAGAACGCGCGATTGGAGCGCGATATTTGTGTCGGCTTTGATTGCGACAAGGAGTTTGAAGCTTAATAGCCATGGATTTGATAATGAACGAGGAAATGGTAACCAGAAGTGGACCGCTAACTAGCAGTGAAGAGGGAGGTAGGTTATTTTTGCAGAGATGGATGGTAGAGCTTCTGGAGAACCTGGAAGAGGAATGGTTGATGGACGTTTGATGAGACGACTGTAAACTTCTGCATAGGGGTTATTTGGGGCCCTGATCATGAATATGACACTCATTTTTCACATTCGTGCTGTTTAACGCATACTTTCTGCTTTCCTAAGCTTTCTCACCTACAGCGCCTACGACTAAGCTTAGGGGAGGGGAGTGAAACTTCCGGAGTGGGTAAACCACGCACCGTGAGGCAAAAGTTGGAGTGTGTCAGACCACAGGGGAATGGCCTACCCACTTTGGAGCCCTACACTACTCAAAGGCTTAGTCCTATTGCGATCTCATTAGTGCGAGGGCGCAGACGAGCAGGAAGCAGGCGCCGAATAGCGCTAACAACAAACCAGGACCCCGAATAACCCTTATACAGAAGTTTACAGCGAATTTAGTGGGAATCAGTTGTGGCGCCACCCGGCCCCAAATGGCGCCAGCGTCAAAAATGAGTATCATATCCGTGATGAGGACAGAAGCGTTCCGTAAAAGATGTTATACCCTTATGCAGAAGTCTATATCCAATGCATGAATCCCTATCTAAAATGCACAGCATAACGACACGACTAACACACTCGAGTCACCGATAATTATAAAACATCCATTGATGGGTGCATCGCGCAGCGGAAAAATCGTGATAAGTCACAAAAACATTCTTTTCAATAATGCAACATGAATTAGTTCTGATTCAACCGCATCCGTATCCCCGTCCAAATTTTACAATCGGGTCCTGACGCCGGGCAATTCCAATGCAGAAACTTACAAATTCACGTATGCAAAAAAAGCTGCTCCAATCGCGCGTTCTTTCATACCGTAGTTGTCTTCGCTGTGCGCCACCTGCCGCGCGATGTCGCGTTGCGATCAGCGAAAAAGTCGCGTTCTGTCCTAAGTACCCATCACTCGCCGCGCGCTACCTTTACCGCCGCCAGCGATTCCGTGTCGCTGTTGCGGTACCAGCCAATTGAGTGATTCTCTGGCCGCTACGCGGCCGCACCACCTTAGGGCCGACGTCATACTTTGCGATTCGATTAGCGATTCGCTCGATTCGATTAGCGATTCGCTCGATTCGCTAGCGATTCGCTGACGTCGGCTTAGCGAATCGCGCGATTCGCAAAGTCTGACATCGGCCTAAGGTATGAGGTGGACGCAACCGATCAGCGCCGCACAGGCTCGCTCAAAGGAGGATTTTGTGATAAGAATGGAGGTCGAAGGATGTCCCCACGACCTAACATGCCGTCCCCGCGCAGCGCTAGCGGCGCGCTACGCCCACCGACTGGCTAACCATTCGCCGCAAGCCTCTAAACCATTAGCAGTTGAGATGAGAGTCACACCAATCGGAAATCAACGAGCAAGGAAAGAGCCCCACTTTTCTTTCTTCTTTTGGCTTTTTATCATGGTTTTTTCTTGATCTCAGCACCACTAACCACCTCCTCCTCAACTCTGATGGCCGCCTTCTGATCGAAAGCTCCGCGATTAAAATGAAATTCATAGCAGATACAGCTCCTAGTCCGCCCTTAGTTGCATTCGCTAAAAAAAACGTCCAGGTAAGGGAAATGACGCCCCTGGGCAAACATTAACCACCGCCGCAACACCTTCCATTTTTGCCCGCTTCAGCAGAATGAAGCAACAACCGCAGCTTTGCAGAATGTAAACATAAACTTGCGCTGGATCGACAAACCAGGTCATTGAAATTTTACAATGGCTCAGAAATACGTTCATTCCATATTTATAATGAAAAAAAAATCGGCTTTCACTTCAATAAGAGCAATGAGACAAATACATGCCTATCAAAAATAAAAGATCACAACTATAGTCATACATTGGAAAAAGCCATTCGATCATGACTATTCCTACCATACTAAAACGAACCGGTAATCCACGACCAAGAAACTCATGAAGAATCTTTAAAGAGTGAATATTTATCGAGGGTAAAGAGAGGGCATGCAGTGACGGTCTTGTACCAATTTTGAGCTTTCCGTAATGGAGCACAGAACGATGCTTGTTGTTTCTTTTCAGCAAACACTAAGACTTCCGTTGAACCACCGAATAAAGAACACATGTCCGCATCCACACCTGAAATGGAATCGTTACCGAAGCACATCACGACTGAAGGAACGTCTAGCAAATTTAAGAAATGCACCAGGAGATTCCGCTCAGTTACGTACATGAAGTTTTCTTTCTATAACCGCTGGCGTAGCAACAAAAAGCACGATGGAAAACTACTGACATGATATTCTACAATGCTCTACAAAGTCAGAATGCAATTTTTCCGGAACAATAACACGCAAGAGTCCAAAGCACAACTAGCTATTCTAACCTTTGGGTGCTGAGATGAGGCAAAGAGAGGTGACACCTCAGCTATCACGTTCACATTTTGAGAAAAAATGCCGGGTGGAATTCCACTCAGGCCAAACAAGCTTCCTTATGATGAATCGCGAAAACATAGGGATACATAAATCCCACAAACACTATCAATTTTGACTTGTTTTTGTTTGTTAACTGCTGTTTTTGGCCGCAGTTCGCCTTGCGAATGTTTCACAAGAATGCTGGGTTGTGAACAAAACTTTCGCCCCAGGCGGGACTAGAACCCGCACCTCTCGCTTTCCGGGCAAGTGCGCTACCAGTTCAATGATGCCCGGTAGCGTAACTGGTAGTTTTGTTCACAACCCAGCATTCTTGTGAAACTATCAATTTAATTCTCAGTACTTCT